AAACTTCGTGGCCCATGCGCAGAAGTCGGTATTATGTGGAAGAGCCCCACTCAAGGGGCCAAAGAGCCACATGTGGCTCGCGAGCCGCAGTTTGCCGACCACTGCCCTAGGTCATAAAGCTATTAAGTGGTAGAAGCAGAATTCAAACCCAGGCTTGTGTGATTTCAAAACCTGGGCTCTTAGCATAAATCTGTTTTCTGAGGCTACATAGTTTGGGAATGGCCAAGCTGAGATTTGTTCCACAGTCTTTAATTCAAGTCTCCACTAGTATATATTGCCCCACAGTGACTGGTCACCTGGGCTCTCAGATGACAGATTGTAGCTGGCATTGCATAAGGGTATACTTGCCTAGCTTTCGCAGCAAGCTTGTGGCCAGTAACATGGATGGCATTTCCATTCTCCCTGCAACAGGGCCTTGTGGAGCACAGCCAAAGGAACACCCAGCACCAAATGATGTTCCCACCATCTAGCACTCCAAGCCTGACTTCATTAGGGGGTTGGCCAGCACCTGAAAAGGCCAGATGGGAATTGGCTGAGAGGGCAGAAGGAGACAGTTGGGCTCATTAAAGCATGACCATGTGGTTCTCTCTGGAGATGCTCGGTGTCAGAACCGATTGCTCGTATTTTGCCATCCAGTTTATATTTTCTGTCTTTTGGTCAGCAACCAAATGAGGGCGGAGAGGATTATTTCTGCTTAAATAATCTAATTAATTACTTGCCTCTCTTGAGTGTGAGAGAAGTACAGCGGTTCTTCTCAACTCTATTCTGTCTACCTTTTCCTTAGGTAAAGATTTAGGAAACTTAATATCACCTATTTCTGCCAAAGGAGTCTTACATAGCAAAATAATTAGAGAAGGTGATGCTAAATTTACCAAGTGAAAAAGTCATAAAACAATGAACAGTTTTTTGTTTTTTATCAGACACACTGGTTGTTTGGTCATGTCACTGAAAGTCTCTGAGCCTGTTTTCATGTTCAGGTCAAGAACTAGTAGCTTCCTTGAGGGTTAATTTATTCGTGCACTTATTCATCAAAGATTCATTTAGTTCCAACTCTATTCCCAGCTCTATGTTAAGCCCTGGATCATTGTACAGATGATAGACAATGTAGGCAAAGTGCTTAAAATAGCTTCTGATACTTTTGTGCATTCACAAAGGATGGCTATTTTCCTTTCTTCAGATTTTGAGCTCAAAGCACTATGTAGGGCCCTGTTTCCCAACCCTAACTCTCACTTCAGCAATAAGCTATCCACATGCATCCCAAGAAGCCATTGGAGAGAAGCAGGGACTGAATAAGGTGAGAAAGAAAAGATAAGCCATAGCCACTACTACCAAGGAGGGGGTTTGCAGGGAAATCCAAGTGGCAATCAATGTGGGCCTTAGTGATGGGAAAGCAAGACTATGGTGGGGTTTCTGTGAACACCAAAAAGACTGCTGAGGAGAGAAATCAATCACAAACTTGTGACATAATGTTGCAAATACACATTTGGCTAACCTGAATGTCAGTGTTAAGAGCAAGTTAATTCTTAATATTGATGCCAGACTATTAAGATATGGTATTATCTGAATGATTATATGTTTAAATTGGGTTATGGTTTATTTAATTTAGGACATTTTGGATATGGGAGTACAAGGGAAGGGGTTGTTATTCATTGTGATAAACTCAGCCCAGACTAATAGGGAATTGTACTGGCCATAAGGCTATGTACTTCTCATCCAGCACATCACATTTTTTTGAGAATTCCCATTGGATAAAGGAGGTGTGGAAGGCCCATGAATGCTGTTTCTGAAACTGAGTGGATGTGGATGTCACTAAAGTTAGCTGTTAGCAGGTACTTGTTCAGGCCCTATTTCTACCACTTTCTAATGGCGTACACTTCAAGTCTCAGCTTACCCAGCCATATAATAGGGTTGATTACACCTACATCACTGGGTTATAGTGGGGAGCAGATGAGATCATGTAAAAGTGAAGGAATTTTTCATTGATAATTATATGTTAAAACTTCAGCCACCACTTACTTATATATCATCATTATCATTATTAATGAAACAATGCCACCTATATAAGGAGGGCTTTAAAAATTATTATTTACTAACTCTGTTGCCTGTTCGAAGAGTAATAATATACCATATCAAATATTAGGTTTGTATGCATGTGTTTGTGTCTGTCTGGCTGTTTGTTCATCCATCTGACAACATTCTTTGCAACCCTTTTAAGATTTAAGGGATAGATCATTACAAATGGCCTTAACACTTGTTAAGAAATCTGAAAAGAGTGGACTTAGGGCCCTAACCAATTTGGCTCAGTGGATAGAGCATTGGTCTGTGGACTGAAGGGTCCCAGGTTTGATTCCGGTCAAGGGCATGTACCTTGGTTGCGGGCACATCCCCAGTAGGGGGTGTGCAGGAGGCAGCTGATCGATGTTTCTCTCTCATCGATGTTTCTAACTCTCTATCCCTCTCCCTTCCTCTCTGTAAAAAATCAATAAAATATATATATTTTTAAAAAAGAATGGACTTAGGAACCACGGGGGAAAAAATTAGAATGCTGTGGCCAAACAATTTTTAGAATAGAATACTGAGCCTAATATTATGCATGTTTGGGGCCCACATGAGTTTTATGGATTTATGCAGAATTTGCACAGCCTGATCAAATAACCATGTGTATTCTCTGCATGTTACAGTCATTTTGGCAACATCTATTGGACTCGTCTTTTCCATATTTAGCCTGGTTGATGCAAAGAAGCCAGGATAAAGTCAGGGCTATAACAGCGGTGTTAGAAAAATCCAAAGAAATGAATATGAATTAGCATTTGCTCTTGGATAAAAACTGAGAAAAGCTGAAGGAGCTCAGAGAAGGCATTTTGTCAGGGAGCATCTTTCCAGCCGGCAGCTCACCTTTTCTGAAGTCTTCCTTGCTCTCCTCCCACCTCCTGAATGTTGGGTGCACATAGAAACTCTCCGTGGAACACATTGCTTTCATATGTGAGGTTAGATTTGAAAAATTTTGTTCAGCTGTTTCCACTCAAATATTCTACTCTCACATTGAAATATATTCTGAAACTCCATTCTGTAACTATAGAAACCCTGATTCTCACTGTGTTTCAGCTGGAAGCACAAAAGAGCCCACAGTTTAAAAGGCGTATGTTGTTAATTATTAATCTATGAATAGCTTAGATTTTAGAAACCATTAAGTTTCTCTAGATTTAGGTTTTTCCTCTTTCTTTTCTTTGCCCGTTTTTGAAATAAGAGCTAGCCATACTTAAACAAAGTGTCATGTTAAAACAATGCAATGAATATTCTGTTAGTCCAACAGTTACTAATGGAGGACTTGTTATAACACATTGTGGGGTGATATGTGGGCTTGCCTTCAAAGACCATAGAGCCTTGCATGTATAATGAGAAATAAACAGACACAGGGAAATGAAAGAAAAGCCGACACAGAGGTGCAAATAAGTGATATTGTGGCACAGAGAAAGAAACGATGTGACACACTGGAGAGGCAAAAAATAAAAAAATAGGGAGGTATTTGAATTTTTGCCTTTTCCCCTTTTTCAATGCCAGCCTTCAAACAAGGCACAACTCCTAACAATTTTATTTTACTGATATTCCTCAAGCCCCTCTCTCTCCTCCACCTCACTATGATATCTAATCATTTCCTGCCTGGGCTATGGCAGTATCTTCTAAATAGGCCTCCTGACCCAGCCGGCGTGGCTCAGTGGTTGAGTGTCAACCTATGAACCAGGAGGTCACAGTTTAATTCCTGGTCAGGACACATGCCTGGGTTGTGGACTCGATCCCTGTGTGGGGAGTATAGGAGGAAGCCGATGAGTGACTCTCTCATCATTATGTTTGCATCTCCGAAATCAATAAAAAGATAAATCAATAAAAAGATATTTAAAAATAAATAAATAGATAGATAAATAGACCTCTTGCTTCCAGCTGTCCCTTTCCTCCTCCAGTCTTTCTCCTTCACCAGGGTCACCTACTTAAAATGCTAATCTATTCTATTACTTTCCTGTTTTATATCCTCTAATCTTGAGGATTCCCCAAGGAAAAAAACCCAAGTCCTTAGTGTAGGTGAATACCCTTTACAAGGAGGCCCACCACCAGCCTCACTTCCCCATCCTCTATGTACCATATGCCGGAATCTTCCTACCACCTTTAGCTTGCTTATAGCCTCAACTCATGGTGTATGTTGTCTCTCCTGTCTGGGAAATTCTCCCTGAACTTTTCCTACTCACAAGCTCTTTCTCATCCTTCAAGTTCACATAAATTGACACCTCCTCCAAGAAGCCCACCTCAATGCTTTCCACTTCTCTTTGTCCTTCCATGACATATATGCTCCCACATTGCTATCAAAGGTCTAACTGTGCAGCATTATCAATCTTTATGTTCTTTGCAGTCATGCTGTTAAAATGCTTTCCCCTTGTTCCCAGCTCCTTACTTGATACATGGAAGGCCCTCAATAAGTGATTGATAAATAAATGAAATGGCAGGTAAATAATGAAGTCTGCAGAAGAATGACAGAAGGACATTGGGAAAAGGGAAAAATTCAAGATTATCTGTAACATGTTTGGTTTGGAGGTGAAGGTAGTAAATTCCCCAGTGTTCTTAAAAAGAAGGGAAGAAAAAAGAAACAAAAAGAAAGGTGAAAAGGTTGGAAGAGAGGATGGGCTGTGATTTCTTTGAAATAAATTTCAATGGATTTATTCAGGCACTTAAATAACAAATACTGGTGTTTCTCCCTCTTTGTTCCAAATACTATACTTTCAGTACATATAACACAGAAATTTCAAGGGATGTGTTAGCAGCTTGAAGACATTATACCAAGACTTTTTATAGTGTCTTTGTATACTTTTTACACAAAAGAACAGAAATATTTTAGAACACATTTTATTTGAGCTATATGATAAGAAGAAGAGGTGTCCTTCATTTAATGAGGAACTTTAATCCTAAGTGACTGGCCATGTGATAGAGTCTTTATTTTCAATTTTCTCTAGGGTGGAAAGAAAGGAACGTGCTCGATTGAAGACTGTGAAGTTTAATGCAAAACCTGGAGTGATTGATTCAAAAGGGGTAGGTACAAAATAATCAAAACATTAAGTTCTCTTGATTGCCATGGAGTTAACTATAATTAACATTTAGGCTTTCAGTAGCAAGTAAATTATGAAGCTACCAGACAGTAGAGCACTGTTATAAATCTATTGCTAAAAGAAATGATGTGATTTCTGATGAAATGGATTTATGGTGAATATATTAAATCCTGGGGGTAAAGCTGCTAGTGGTCAACAGAAATCATGCGTTGATGAAGGTGATATAATGATTATAATGAAGAAGAGAAATATAATTTAGGTATTTTCATTTTTAATTTGTTTTCTTTTAAATGAAATGTCTGAAGTGATGGATTTCATAAAAGATACCTGTTCATCATAAAATATGTCTAGTCTGTTACACATTATAAAGCTAAAAGTAGTGGTCATGGAAATATACATATGAACCATCTAAGTGAATACATGGATTGTTGTGACAGACATAGAAGAGAATTAACAAATGAAATTTAATCACTAAAATTAAAAGATTTACTCATATACACATGTATCTTTTTTAATAACAGCTTTAATGAGGTCTAATTTACTACCATACAATTCACCAATTTAAGTATGTAATGCAAAGGTTTTTAGTATATTGAGAGTTATACAACCACAACCATAATTTTAGAACATCCTATCACCCCATTAAGAGATCCTGTAGCAGTCACTTTCCATTTCCCCCAACCCCATCTCCACCCCCACCCAGCCCTACTACTAATCCACTTTGTCTCTATAGATTTGCCTATTCTGGATATTTCATGTAGATGGAATTAAACATTATGTGATCTTTTGTGCCTGCTTCTTTACATAATGTTCTCAAAGTACATCTATGTTGTAGCATGTGTAAATATTTTATTCAATGCCAAATAATATTCCATTGTGGATATACCTCAATTAATTTATTCATTCAGTTGATGGATATTTGGGTTGTTTCTACTTTTTTGGCTATTATGGATAATGCTGCTGTGAGCATTCATGGACACACATTTATTTCCACTTGGAATATACCTAGGAGTGGAATTGCTGGGTCATTTGAAGAACTGCAAGACTGTTGTCCAAGGTGGTCATACCATTTTACCACCCTACCATCAGTGTGTGAGAGTTCCAATTTCTCACCATATTCACCAGCACTTGTTATTATATGTCTTTTTGCTTATAGCCACCCTATTTGGTATATCATTATGGTTTTGATCTGCATTTCTCTAATGGCTGTTGGTATTGAGCATCTTTTCATGTGCTGATTGGCCATTTGTATTTCTTCTTTGGAGAAATATCTATTTAGATCCTTTGCCTATTTTTAAATTAGGTTCTTTTGTTATTATTGAGTTGTAAAGTTTCCTTAAATATTGTGAATATTAATCTCTTATCAAATATATGCTTTCCAAATATTGTCTCCCATTCTGTGAGTTGTCTTTCTACTCTCTTGATAGTGTCCTTTGATGAACAAAAGTTTTAATTTTGATGAATTTTATCTATTTTTTCTTTTGTTACTTGTATTTTTGGATGTCATATCTAAGAAACCATCACCTAATCCAAGGTCATGAAGATTTATGTTGATATTTTCTTCTAAGTGTTTCATAATTTTAGCTCTTACATTTAGGTATTTGATCCATTTGGAGTTAATTTTTATGATATGAGGTAGAGTTCCAATATTATTTTTTTGCAAGATCATGTCATATGCAAGAAAGAAGTTTTAACTTCTGTCTTTCCAATCTGGATGACTTTTATTTCTTGGTCATGCCTGATTGCCGTGGCTAGAACCTCTGATTGCCCTGGGTAGAAGTGGCGAGAGGAGTCATCCTTGTTTTGTTCCTAACATTAAGAGGAAGGCTTTCTGTATTTTACCATTAAGTATGATGTTATCTGTGGGTAGTATAGCTTTTAAACTCTGTTTTATATAATATTAGCATTATATTGCTATAGTATAAAATACCTTTGCTCCCTCTTCCCTATTCTTTCTGTTTGTCTCCTTTCCTTTATTTTTCTGTCCTGACATTTCTGGTTTCTCATTGTCAAAAATAACCACAAGTTATGGTCAGTATATGTCACTATGGAAAACAAGAAGAAAATCTATTATTTCTCAGGACTTCTGATCCCCAAACCTACACTGCCCTTTGTATTTTTAAGTAGAAGTGTAATTGTGCAGTCCTTTTATTAACATAATTTATTTTCCCCTAAAACATTCAGATGGGAATTTATTATTTAAACATACGATGTTGCTCTAAAAAAAGTGAAAGTATATGTCTTCATGCATGCAGTCCTTTTAAATAAATACTGCTTATATACAAAAGGATAGGATTTTTCAATGATTCTTGGTAAAAAAAACAAAGGATATATTTCCTGTTTGTTTCATATATGTAGTTGGATTTATATCAAAGAAATTTTATTGAATACCTATCATGTGCCAAACACAGAACTAGAACTTGTGAACGAATCAAAGTGTAACATAGGCCCTTCTCCTTAAGTATATATCAATGCATAGAATATAAATTCTAGGACTTGAATGACCACTGAAAGAGAAGCAGTGATCATGTGGAAAAGGAAACCCTAGACTGAAATCAGGAGGGTTAAGTAACCTGGGTTCTGGTTTCAGTTCATGACTAAGTCACAACTGCCCCTTGGGCCTCATTAGCAAAATAACAGCTTTGAACTACGCCAGGTATGTCAGACACGTTTCACTTCCTACATAGATTGATGGATTGATAGTTTCTACCTGGAATAGTGTGTTGAAAATGATTCTGAGGCCATATATGACCTTGGCAGGGGGGAAAAAAAGTGCCATGATCGATAGTCATGCCTAACACAATATTTGGAATTGTTCCCTTTTTGATGTGTCTGGATTCAATGATTTTTAAGATGCCCACCAGCAGTAATTCTCCTTGAGTCAACAAATTAAGAAATAATGAACCAAAGTTTTCCAAACCCCCAGGAGAATAATACATCAGTAAGAAGATGCTTGTCCACAAGGAGAAAACAAAGGACAGTTGAGAGAAAGTACACTGACCCAGCCGGTGTGGCTCAGTGATTGAGCATCACCCCATGCACCAAGAGGTCACCAGTTCAATTCCAGGTCAGGGCACATGCCTGGGTTGCTGGTTTGATCCCCAGTGAGAGGAATGCAGGAGGCAGCCTCGATGTTTCTATTTCTCTCTCCCTTTCCTTTCCTGCCTCTGAAAAAAATCCATAAAAAATATGTTATAAAAGAGACAGAGAAAGTACACTGGAGAAGGAGAGACAAACTGTGTAAAGAGTTGGGAAAGTTGGGTCAGGTGATCAGGAAGTGCCACTCACTTTGAGCCAAAGGCAAGGAGTATAGACATAAGCCATTGTTATAGAGGTTTTAGTGTCTAGTAGTACCATAAAATAAATTTAACTTAAACTGAAGAGTAAAACTCTTTGGAATGAGAAAGAGATGGTGTTTTAAATAATCTTGTCATTTGCTGGCAGTTACAGAGCATTGTGAAGTGTTGCCCAAGTTCAAAGTGAAAGCCACGGTTACTATCTTGGAGTAAATTAAAATCAATTAGTATGTGTGAAGCAGGCTGTGACAGAGCTATGAGAATTCAAATTAACGGGCATGGGATGACCAGAGAGCACTTCATAGAAGAGCTTTGACTTTAATTGACCTATCAGTGCTTCAGTTACTTTTCCTGAACTACCCATTGATTTAAAGAAAAACACAACACTAAATGCTGCAAGATACCAGGCACTATGCTAGGTGCTGTATGGGGCAGCAAAATAAATAAAAAGGCAAAGTCTGTCATCTCAAGGAGCTGACACAAAAAAATATATAGGAAAAAAATAATGAATCCAATATCACTGATTTTCCCAATAAATTTAGAGAATTAATAATCTTGATTTCAATATCAGGACACTGAGCCTCAGAGAAATTAAATAATTTACCTAAGATCACATAGCTAGTAGATGAAAGAGTCAGGTTTAAATTCAGGTCATTTTTTAAAAAATATATTTTTATGGATTTCAGAGAGGAAAGGAGAGGGAGAGAAATAGAAGCATCAGTGATGAGAGAGAATCATTGATCAACTGCCTCCTGAATGCCCTTCCTCCACTCCCACTGGGGAGGGAGCCTGCAACCCAGGTATGTGCTCTGACTGGGAATTGAACCTTGACCTCCTGGTATATAGGTCGATGCTCAACCACTGAGCCACACCAGCCAAGCTAAATCAGGTCATTTTTGACAGCAGAACATTTGTTCTTTCCATTTCTTCACACTGTACCTTATTGTGCTGGAGGACAGAAGAAGAAGAGAGTTCCTGTTTATGCCTTGGGTAGGAAAGAGGGCTTCAAAGAGAAGGTGTCATTTGAACAAGATCTTGAAGTGTAAGAATTTGCCATGAACATGAAGGTGGAAACTGTAGGCATGGACCAGCATAGACATGAAGGTGGAAATTGTAGGCATGTTGGAGTAAGGCCCAGCAGATCAGGGACACCAGATGGATGGTGTAGATAGTGTGGTGGGAGTTTTAACAAATGAGCTGATAAAAACTTCTGGAAGGTCAGGAAGCTTGCATGGAAAGTCTAGCTATGAGCTTTAAAGCGAATTAAAATTTTAGAGTATCCATGAGGAAATCTGAGGCTTTCCATTTGAAAGTATCCGTTTGCTACAAATGAAATGCCTGGAATTTTTGTCCACTCCATGTGCCTTCACAAAGTCTGTGTCTACACATGCAAAGACAAGTAGACAATTGTGTCAATAACCCAGATAATTCCAGTCTTCCCAGACCCCTGAGGTCAAAGTGGTCATCTGTTTGGATGGGTCTCATTGAGAACCGTCTCAGTTCCCCAAACCTCACTGCTAAGTTCCTAATGAGCCTCCATTCAAACCAGTCTGTGATGAAAATGTAATCATCCCCTTAATTTCCTTCTTTGTTCTTCTAACTTTTTTAAATCAGTTTCCTAATCAGTCATTTTGTTACTTATTAAGACGCGTAGGAAATTGTATTTCAGAATTGAGCTGTTCTCCAT